TGACATCCCGGCGTGCGCAAGAGGGCATGCTCAACCTCTCCGAGTTCGATTCTTTGCCCGTTCAACTTGACCTGGCCGCCACCAATCCTGCCAAGACACTCTATTGTGCCATCCGGTAATATTCTAGCTTTGTCTCCGGTTCTGTACACTCGGCCCCAACTCGTATCGAGGAACGCGGCCGAAGTCTGTTCGGGTCTATTAATGTATCCAATGGCTACCTGACTACCACCGATTGCGAGCTCTCCGACTTGGCCGAGAGGGAGCACCCGAAATTCTGGAATATCGCTATCTATTATGAATGCCGATACGGTATCGAGAGGAATTCCAATGTTATTCTTGCTAGATTTCTTGGAAAATGAGGGTTGGATTGTGCTACAACCTTTCGCATGAGTATTCCAAAACGCGACAAGAAAAGTTGCGGAATACTTACCAATGAATCGTCGCTTCAGTAGGGCCATACATGCCCCAGAGCAGGCTGCCTTCGTCATCGTCACCTCCAAATTCCTGGATGACAGGTTCGGTAAGCATCTCACCGATGGTCAGCAGGAGACGCAACTCGGGAGCATTGCTCCTCTTCTTGAGTAAACTGCCAGCAACGGATGGTGTTAATTCGCACGCATCTACGCGCGAATCTCTCAAAACACCGGGAAGATCAGATAGCATATCCGCGCGACTGCTACACACGAGAGTGCTACCGCGGAACAACGGATAGAATATTTCAAACACAGACACATCAAACGTGGGCGCCGCGAATTGGAGGAAGCGAGCGAATGGTGGAATGTGGCGATCGTGGGCAAGCAAACTCTGCGTCACTGCACGGTGGGATATCGCAACCCCCTTTGGCGTCCCAGTAGAGCCGGATGTGTACATGACATACGCCAGGTCATCAGGCTCGGGTACCCTATAGCTGCAGGGTACCGGCTGTCCCGTGTTACACAGCAAGAGGTCCAACGATCGGTTGACCGGCAGGATCCTGTAAGCATCATCGTCTGGTATTCTCGTTGCAAGTTTAGAGTCAACTAGAACGAGCTCGGCTTTGACATCACTCAATATGAATTTGAGACGATCTTGCGGAATATCGACGTTCAGCGGGCAAAAGGCAGCACCGATTTTCAAAATAGCGAGGAGCCCAACGTACAGCGCCGGCGACTGTGGGATGAGAATTGGTATGACAAGCCGTTCCCGGCAGTCAACCGAATCCGGTGGTCGCAAGATTTCGAGCATACGCGTAGCCAGCGCAGTCGCTGCAGAGTGAAGTTCATGATAGGTGACGCTAAATCCAGCACCGGTGCTGCAGTGATAATCTATAGCTGGCAGGCTATCGTTGCTCGACTTTGTTACTAGATCGTGAAGTAGCTTTGGCCCCTCAAGGATCAAAGGAGAGGGATTCAAGATGGATAGTTCCCTCAAGTCCATCTCTAGCTCCATAGCGAGGCACGAATGACGTTTTTCATTAGATATGCGCTTTACGAGAGAGGATAATGGTAATAAACCACGTTACCTCTACCGTCACTTCTGAGCAAAGTAGTCACTTTGTAGTCACTGCGATGGCGTAACGGCGGATGGATGATAAGCGTATGATGGGAGTTTATGATTAAGACGATTCTCGCGTAACTGGCGAGGAAGCTGATGGAAGCTGCTAATATAGATAAGACCAAAGCATACGTTTGCTTTGTGGATATGTATTAGCCTTGCCACGTTATAAAAGTAACTGCAACCACATGTCCTTCAAACTCAAAATCTGACGCGATACCTCTATTTCCTCGTACGTACTCGTGGCAGTTACACCTCGAGATACAGATAGAGGTTAAGGTAACACAGTTGAAGTGGCTTTTGTGGCTTGACGCAGGAACAGTCCAAAATCCCGTCTACAATGTACTTGAGGACGCCTTACCCGTACGTTCGGGCCGCCACGATACGCAGATGTGCCAGAAAGGTTAATTTTGGTAAATTCGAGCGCCAAGTTAGGACGAGCCGTTACACTTAGAAGCATATGTATTAGATGAAGGAAGTTGTGGCCGGCGGTTTTCCTTATGAGGCTTTTTCTTCCCCCTCTCGACTAGTACCTAACAATTCCATTACGTTTACATTCTATTTGCGGTTTAGGTGAGTGGCTAAGAAGAGTTACCTTAATTCCTAGTACCTTGCCAAGGGTTCAAAGTACTTGACGTACATCAGACATGTATATGAATTCCAACGATTACATAGAGTACATGCATTCCCTTATAGAATTATCTAGGTTAATTGGCTCTATCTCGGAGACCCGGCATTTCTGATGTAGCTGGAGCTTTGCGGGATAGCATAGTAAACATCTATGTATCTCTGCATATTATGAAGCTGACGCTTACATATTTCACTTCATAAACTCATATAAGTACCTAACGGAAGATGGTAAGCATGTAAGAGTAAACAATCTTGGGTATATACAGACTCTAAATTTTCCAGTAAATCGGTAATGAATCAAAAGGTGACTATTTCAAAATGAGACTGCAGACCTTACCTAAGGTACCAACTCGTTAAACTGGTTCGGTAAAAATTTTAGCAACACTAGAAAATTACGTGTGGCTTTTGATCTACTGCTGTACAACCATACCTAACCCTGCCGGTCGAGCGGGGACGAATAGAGTTGACCGTTTTATTGCGCGGAGTTGCCTCCTAACCAATTCTAAGTTTATAGATCTTGAAGAGTAGTATTAGTTTTCTATTATTCCAGCATCTTAGGGGTCACGGATATATATGTACCTAAGGTATCAAAGTAGAAAGTAGTTATGGATGGTGGTTAATGCTTCATTGATTTTTTTTAGAACCATCTCAAAAATGAATATTCATTTCGTAAACTTCGGCCGCCGAAAAAAAACATTCGTCGCAAAATACCTCGTAACGTGGACATTTTAATCATACTAGGTAGCTCCGGTATTCGTCCAGGACCCCGGCATCGCCAAGGCGCCCACTTCCAGGATGAGATCTTGAGATGATCTTATCAGATCATCAGATAATTTGCATCGTGGATCTATTAAGAGCTGTTTAGCGACTTATGAACCAAAGAACCCATGCATTCCACACCCCAATCGTCTTTTAGTCGACCACCCTCCCCACTCCACGATGCAGGAGAATAAAATTTTCTTCTCGAATTCGGTTAACTTTTCCATGTTCATATATTATTCACGTGTCTTGGAACGCCGTGTGGGGTTTTTTGTGTTGATCTATGGGTTTTAACTATCCCCTCCAGGCATAAGGACTCCGCGGCGTTATATAATGAACCGTATTTAAAACCTGCCGAAAATTACATAAAGTATGGCGTGTCATTGTCGTTTAGGTAATGAATTTATTAACTAGCTAGTTTATCCCAACTTCCATTCCGTTCTGGGCTGTTGGTCCGCACCCCAGGTTACCAGTAACGAGAGAGAAGAGCTGTACCCAGCTAGAGTACCCAGCTAGAGCAACACAGGTTTCCAACGCAGCTATGTAACTATCTGTCCGGGATGTGAGTATTACTACGAGGTGATGTTTCTTCGTAAATGTAACAATAGGAGTAGCTAACGGAGCCCCGATATCTAGAACTTGAAAGAAGTTACCATTGTGTATCGATCACGGATAGAGTGGCGTGGGCGGAGCAGGTCTGAAGAACTAGTTAGGCGTATGCCTACTCTAAAACCTCTTTTATTTAAAATAGCTCGAATATATAATTTAGAATAATATTATTATAGTAATAGCTTGCAATTTGACAATTAACAATACCAAGTGGAATAGCAACGAATATAATACATAATGCTTGTTTACTTACCTACCATGAACTCCTGCAAATAGTCTCCAAGTAGATAATAATGGTGATGTGCTTAACAAGATATATTCAACTCGCCGTAGGGTTCAAAAGGATAAAAGGAACGGGTTAAAGTAACGAACAAAAACTATGGCCGTCATCGGGGAATGCCGGCACCATCTGGTCTCCATGCACAGACATCTTATCTGATCCGAAGATAACGCCGATGTCGCCAGACTAATATCCCTGCGGTCTCCTCTTGGCTGCGTCTCCCTCAGCCAGTGCCAGGTTTGAAGACCGAGGCCAGCTAAGTTCGTACTCGGTGCATGCTATTACATGTGTCACAAGTTGAAGGTACAGCGGGAACATCCCGCAAAGTCTGAGCTGGTCTTCGAAAATGCCACTGCTAGCGTAGTGACGCCAGGTTGCTCTAGTCTCGATTCGCTTCCCGTCCGACACTGAATCCTCAAACCGAGACAGGTAGGGACAGGGAATACACAGTTCTAGCTAGACCGAGTTATTTAATCACTCCCGGCGCTCAGTTACCTACGTCCTAACACACGCGGCCAAATTAGGTATTGAGTCACATCCCTAAGTACCTACCTAACCTAACCTTTCGTATCCTCCCTCATGGGTCCTAAGCAGCTGCTGATCTCCATCGTTCCCGGTTGTTTAGTACCTACCCGCTTGGTACTAGCTCTTATAGGTTTACATAGCTGTGACTATACCTCGTTCTTAGTTCTGGAACATGCCTATTCATTATCTTCTCACTACCTACTTGATGTGCATGGCGCGTCAGGCCATTCGATTTACAGCATGTCGAATTCTAGCCTTGGAACTTTTCCACGATCTAGACAAGGATGCGTAAGACATGGCCCGCTCTATATATATTCGAACGGCTGCACCATCATTCGGACAACCCAATTACGACTATTTTACTGACTCTCTCCTTCTCTAACCACTTGTACCGTGAGAAGCCCCTTATTCTTAGTCCTCTTGAACTTTTTTTTTCTGGCTCCGAAGTTCTGTCAACATAGTTGACGAGTAGTCTTCCTCGTTTGGTTTACGGGACCTCGGAACCTAAGGTCACATCATCAAATACCTGCGGAGTACTTGTTCCTCTAGTTAGGTACATGCTGACTTAGCAGAAGTCTGCAGAGTCCGTATTAAACAGCGTCGCATATTCGCCACCCGTCTTACGAACAACAGCGGGCAGTTTTAGTCCAATAAAATAACTATCATGGCACCGCATAGTCTATTAGACGGTCATGATGACGGCCCAACCAGCAATGGTTTTCCAAAGAGCGACACTGATGATCAACCAGCCCGGTTGTCAGCCTATAGCTCTCTGAATAACAAGTCGCACCTAAAGAAGACGTCAACAGAAGATGTGCATGATCTTGTCTGTGTTGGATTCGGACCAGCTAGTCTCGCGGTCGCAGTCGCCCTTCACGACGCCATCGACAATGGTAGTCTCCACAAGACGGGCACCGGGTCGACTCCGAAAGTTCTTTTCCTAGAGAAACAGCCAAGGTTTGCGTGGCACGCCGGAATGCTCCTCCCTGGCGCAAAAATGCAGATATCTTTCATCAAAGACATGGCTAGCTTAAGGGATCCTACCTCGCAGTTCACTTTCTTGAACTACCTCCACAAGAACGGCCGGCTGGTTGAGTTCACAAATCTAAATACGTTTTTACCGTCGAGGGTCGAATATGAGGACTACCTCCGCTGGTGCGCCAGCTTTTTCGACGACGTCGTCCAATACAACAGCGAAGTGGTGTCTGTCTCTCCTGTAAAGGGGCTCGAACCCAACGGATCGGTTTCCACCTTTACCGTTACGTCGAAGGATCATAAAACTGGTGAACTAACTACTTATCGATCCAAGAACGTTCTTCTAGCTATTGGTGGACAACCATCGATACCGAAATGCTTACCTTCGAATCACCCTCGAGTCATCCACTCGTCTCAATACGCGCATCTCGTGCCAAGGATTCTAGAAAATCCAGCTTCTCCCTACCGAGTAGCTGTTATCGGAGCCGGACAGAGCGCCGCCGAGATTTTTAACAACATTCAAGTCCTATATCCGAATTCTCGGACATCCTTGATCATGCGCTCCGAATTCCTGAAACCCAGCGACGATTCACCATTGTAAGCCAACCTCAGATTTTCGGAGGAGTCTCCCTTACATAGACTTAATTTCTTTTTGGGAAGCTAATTACCAATAGCGTTAATTCAATCTTCAACCCCTCGTTTGTGAACTCCCTCTATCAAAGATCTGCCGAAGACAGATACACCCTACTAGAGGGAGCTCGGAGCACCAACTACGGAGTGGTCCGGCTAGAGCTTATCGAGCGTCTATACGAGAAAATGTACGATCAAAGACGCGAACTTGGGACCGACGAAAGAAAATGGCCGCATCGCATCCTAGGTACTACAGATGTAGTCGGCTTAGACACCAAGTCTGATCAGCTGCGGCTCACAGTTCGTCCTCTAACGTCGAAGACTGCCGTTCACGACGGCACGCGGGAAGAAGAAGTCTTGGATGTCGATCTCGTCATCGCAGCAACAGGCTACCAGCGCCAGTCTCATCTGACTATGATAGAAGACGTGGCTCATTTGCTACCTCAAGCTTCCGAGTCAAACGGAGCTCTACCAAGTGGCATAGTTGGACGGAAATTTTCAGAAGCTAAGATTAACGACCGCTCGGTAAAGGTATCGCGCGACTACAGCGTGCAGTTTTCCCCTGGGAAAGTGGCGCCAGGATCCGGCATTTGGCTTCAAGGTTGTTGCGAGGGAACACATGGAGTGAGTCTATTTTAACCCATCAGAAATTTATGCGCGTCGCTGACTTTGCTTTCTAGTTAAGCGATACTCTGCTGTCTGTTTTAGCTACCCGATCCGAGGAGATAGTCGGCTCTATATTCGGCAAGGGTGTGCAAAATGGGAGCAAGTGAAAATTAATGAATTGAGGTTTCCTCGGAATCTATGTCGTCTCGAGATTCATCGGACTTTCGCGAGGATCAATTTGTTTCTCGTGAATAGTTGGCGGACGAAGAATTATAAAAGGCGTAGAAGAGAATTATATGTGGCATCAAGACACCTCAAATAGGGGTGCAAATAGGTGCACCAAAACTAAAGTTGGAATACAAAATTTGGCTGAGTGCCTGACAGTTAGGATATAATGACATAAATAAAATAACTCTTTAATTTCCTATACGTGATCGGCCTAAATCATCAAGGTAGTAAAGCTGAGTATTAGATATTCCTACTTTTAGCGGCTACTACTGATCTTGATGCCCTTCTTATTAGATATATGCACGTAGACAGTCGGGATATATAATGCGTAAATCATCAAATAAGATTTAACCAGCGGTAATCGGTTGTAATTTTATTCGTTTATGTTTGTGTATCGTTGAAGTTAATCCTCGCTCGAACTTATCCTTGATCGTGAAATGTAGCCTTGGTTTAGAGTAAGCACTACTCATAGCGAGCCACGAACAGGAAAGGCTAAAGCTAAAGTCGATTAAAAGATCATAATGGAGGGTAAACAACTTATGAGGTGCTAGGATACAAGGGGAGACAACTAGAATAAATGACACCTTTAGTGTATACAGTTTCAACTTCGATAGTTGGGCGAGAGCTCCTCGAGGAATATCCGAATTCTTTCCACATCTCTTACATTACCTCGTGATATGATATTTGAGATTAGTTTTGGGAATTCAATATAAGCTTACCTTATTGACATAAGATGGCTGCTTGGATGGTAATAGCTTGATTATAAACCGAGAGGCAAGCGTCAGCAAGCTGACCAATATTGATACCACTATTCCGAATATAAAGTATATTATTCATAGAGTTCGATGACGTTCAAAATATAAATAGTTGGGATTTTATCTGTATTGACTAATGAATTATATAGAAATCAGGTCAATTCTGCAACTTATTGTTATATCGAACATCGCATATACAATGGTTTCGTCGCGATGGATAAGTGTGGTAAGCTTCGTGGGTATTGGGTCCTGCATTCCAGTGTTTGCCGAAGAAGATTCTCTTCAAGCCTCAATCATCGATACTTCCACATTAGACGGGAAACTATTCGTCGGATACCAGGCATGGTTTCGAAAACCGTTCGAAGATAATGGTAACTCGCACTGGACAACGTAAGGCTCTAAGTTCGCATCAAGATATCCAGAGAAACTTACCTATAGTATATAGAGACACACCGACACCTGAGGTTGGCCATGGTGAGGAGTTCGCTACCTGATCCAGAACTTATACTGATTTCTTCCATAGTCGGTATTGACATGATACCTAATATCACAGGCTATCCGGAAGAGTGCCTCTTTGACACATCGTTTACTCTCCCAACCGGTAAACCCGCACAGTTCTACACGAACGACTGCAAGGGGATTGTAGACCTACATTTTAATATGATGGCAAACTACGGTATCAGCGGCGCTTTTATCCAAAGGTTCTATGGCTATATCAACGAAGCGAACGGAGGTTGGATTAACGTGCGCAGCACCTACCCTACCGCGTAAAGTTAAGAATAACCTAACTCTAAGGTAGATCCTGAACTTTGCTAAAACGGCCGCTGAGAAATATGGGCGTGGGTTCGCGATCGAATACGACCTTAATGGTGCAGCAACGGGTTCCACAAACGTCACCAATACGTTTTTAGCAGATCTAGAAGCTCTCGACTCTATAACCTCATCGCCAGCATACATGCATCATAACGGAAAGCCTGTCATTGAGATATGGGGTTTTGGCATAGTGACGGAAGTCACCGCGGATGATGGAATAGCAATAGTGACAGCGCTGAAGAATGCAGGTTGGTACGTGATACTCGGAGTCCAACAAGCGTGGCACGCAGAGCTAGCCGCGGATCAGCCTGGCGGGTTTGGACCAGTCTACAAGCTGGCACATATGATACAGCCCTGGACTGTGGGGGCTTACGACATCAATAACTATGACGAATTCCACGATGGAAGACAGGCCATCGAAGACAGAAACGCATTACAGCAGCTGGGACTAGAGAGCAGTATTGTCGTGTGGCCAGGAGGCTCGAGCAGTAACGCGAACCCAAGCGAGGCATTTGATCACTTCCCTAGGTGGAATGGCACGTTCTACCAAAAGCAATTAGACGGTGCTGTTAACTTGAAGCCTAATTTCATATTCGGTGCTATGTTTGACGAGGTAAACGAAGGGACAGCGATATTCCCTTTGCTAAGGAATAGGGAGCTACCCACGAATCAACGGTTCCTAGGAATCGACGATGATATGGAGCCGGATATTTATCTAAGGAAGGCAGGAGATGCAGCGTCAAAACTGGCAACGGCTTCGCAGCTGGATTAGTATTAAAACTACCCGGCAGTCAAGTTTCCCTTATGATAACGTTGATTAGCTTGGTAATATATTGAACCCATCGTCATTCAGATCATGTAATTTCCCGGCAGATCGATGTCGCTGAGCTACACGGTAGCACTTACGTTGCATAAGGAAAGTTATTACGGGAAGATCGTAGAATATGGCTAATAACTTATCCCAATAGTTTCAAAATCTGTAACTAACTATCTCCATTTGTGACTTGCCTTTCCTCAGTGAAGATTCCTATCTAGGTGGGTTCTCAGCCAGCCTAGTCGCATCCTCCATCTCCTGAATAGATGGCATATTGATTATCATCATATATAAGATATCCTGCGAGTGTTAGTTAATACGATAGACAATATTTATAATAAGGAAGGTCAAATACCTTTCGTAGCAATCGCTTGCGTGGTCCCTTCTCGGCTCTTTCGGGGTGCTTACGCGCCCGTTTTTCTCGCTTTCGTTCGTGCTTCTCGCGCTTGCGCTCGTCTTTCTCGAGCCTACGCTGCTGTTTCTTATGGTCTTTTGGCGTAAGTTCAACCTTTGGATCCATCAGAGGATTGAGGGCACTGGTGGGGTTCTTTCTCAGCTATTAAGTGATTGTTAATAAGTATTTGATGATCCGAAAGGGATATTAACCTTACATATTTTCTTTGAGCCTTAAGATCTTTGCGCTCGTTGAAACCATCAAACGAATTTGAAAACCCGCTCTTCGTACCGCTTTCATCCCCTTCCTCGTCGCTAGAGGTGTCCTCCAAATCAGGGAAGACCAATTCTGCGGAGGCCGGGAACTCAATCGGACCCGTTATCCCATCATTACTTCGAAACTCACTGTGAGAATTTTCCCGGTTACTAGTTCCGGCATTGAGATCTTGCTGTATTAGAGTGTTATTGGATTCCGGGCTGTATGCCATGATGAAGCAGTACAGGCCGCGCGGTCGGAAAAGCTCGTCATTCATCTTTAAGAGAAATGCGTTTTGGCTATAACCATACGGTAAGCTAATCTGATAAAATAGAAACGGATGAGAATATCGTTACGCACTTCTTACGACTCCGCATCTCCTGGTATACTCCGGCTGTTATCTGGACAGCTAGTCCAACCGTAGATCCTATGGCGGATGGAATAAAACCGGCCATGTTTGAAGCAAGGTTGATAGCGCCTACTAACGGAGAAGACGCCGTTGCCTTATCAAGTTCGTCAAGAAACCTCATAAATGTAGGCTGGTCAATGCCACATCCCATTAAATCGGGCGCGTAGGCTCTGATGAACCCGCGGGCACGTTGTCCGGGCCGCCGTTGGGGGATGATAATTGGATAAGGAAGAGAAACCGGCGTAGCTGGAAGAGAGGATCCAGGATTCCCGATTCCCAGCGTGCCGAGGTCATGGTATTGCTGCTGGCCGATATTACTACTATAATGCGCGCGTAGCCTCTCTTGAGCGTCATCAAGTGCCCACTCCTCTTCCTCGTCATACGGCTGGTAGCTGTAGACTTGAGAATCTTCGAGTCCTATCATATGGTCAACTAAAGCCTCCCACAAGGCGAATTAATATTTACTCACTTGGCACTACATTGTGCGTAGTCATGGTGTCTGGCGCAAATCCTACACAACTTGCAAAGTGTAGATCGTGAGAATTAGAGGTTGTCAAAACCCAGTTCTATGATAGAGTGGGTCCTTTTAACGTGGCGAATTAACAGAGCTATAACCTAGATAGTTGATTAACTCTAGGAGATTGAAGGCACTTTAGGCAGTCTTCCGACTTTTCTTCCTGTGAATAAATTAATATGAATCTGACGCTAGTTTCCAGCTACGAAAACGACGGCATACGGACCAGACAGATTGAAGACGAGGAAAAGAACTTGCACTTACTTGGCTTTGATGAATTATATGAAACGAATAGCTTAAGCAAGCATCTACTTAAGTTAACATACATTAGGTACATAGACTACCAGAGACATCTGGACATCCGGATATCAAGACGAGTAGTGTTGAAAAATTGGATCGTTTATATAGATTATTGATCGCAAATCATACAATTAAGATCACTGATATTGACTGCACCGCCTCATACGCTTACGCGTTAGATCATAAAGCTATAAAGGTAAGTTGTTAGCTACATGAGCGAATCATCGCAGTGTTTGGTTTCGATGTTGGTTAAATCTATACAATACCTGGCTTAGTAATTGCCTCGGCATACTTTTCGCCTAGGAATATGCCTAGGCAATTTAATATGATACATGCATAAACTTGTACATTTATACATTTAAGTACCAGTTCAACCTTGCTTATCGAAATGCGTGCCATCTAATTCCTTAACTCAAACCAGGGCCCGGAATCTAAGCCACAAAGCTAGGTACGCTTCGCTACCAACTATATCTATTCAAATTTAAATTAGAAAATGATTTCTCATTTTGTAGTTGATTTTAAGCATATACTAGACCATTAAAGCCTACATATATTAAGTGGAAAAGTTATGAAATACCTGTTGCTTTTAACATGTCAATACAAAATAGGGCAGACATTCGTTGCGAACCCCTACTCGAGCCTCTAAGAGATACAATAGCAGAATAATTCCTGTAGTTCTGATGAAAGATTTGAATAAGGCTCTTTGATATATCTCCTAGAAAAGATAGGATGTCATGCACTCGCCCGCCCGGCCCCTCTTCCACACCTTGACCAATGATTGTAGAACGAATTAAGTAGCTTCCTTTCCAGAGTCAACTTGTGTACTTCGCTCTCGATCTTCCTCCACCAAACGTAATATCTCTCGCATCATCTTGTATATATGTTCATGGTCCGTACGGACGGGTCCTTCCTCCGTCTTTGCATTCGGTACTCCAATCCAAGCTGGCGACATTCCACTTGCCCAAAACTGGACAAATCCGTTGAAGTACCGTCGCGCAATCAGGTAAACACCCTCAAGATACGGAAATACGTTGTCCCGCTTGACAAGCTTAGATTCGAAGCGCAAGAAGTACTCGCAGCGGTAAGGTAGTATTGGGCCTTCCCCAACATTAAAGAAGATGTAGGCGTTCTTGGTTTCTGGTTTTCCGATAATCTGGATAAGGGGTTCGCCAGTACTAGGATTGAGCTCATTTTTATATTTTTCGATGACCTCGTCAAGGAAAACGTCGTACAAGCCCTGCAGATCCTCGATAAGCGAGGGATAAACATCAAAGCCGCAGTCAACGCCCATATCGAGTCGATAATACCAGTATAAAAAGCGTAGAAGTATTAGTAGAGGAAGCCAAGCAGCTACGGGCTCAACAAGGAACGTGTCAAGTGTTAAAAGAAGGTGAATTAGGCACCAGCGCCCAAGCTGGCCGGTTTTATGCTTTTGTTAGAATGGTTGGTTAACACGGGCGGGGTAACCCAACAGCGTTTATTATGCGTTTCGCTGCCAGCCTCGCGGTTGAGCTTAGTATTAGCAACCAGGCCAAGACTATAAAATGGGTGGAATACCCAAGAGAAGGCGACCCAAACAAGCCCGACATACTGGAACAATAGCAAAGTGTACTCTTTTATATCAGGCATGGCTACTCTTACACACTCTCCAGCCGTCATCACCTCCTTACCCGACCTCCTCATCTTCTTGTCTTCGATCACTCTGTTTAGCACTCTGTATTTGGACTTTGAGGGTAAAAACCTCAGTCGTAATGGAACCCTTACTATATTAACCGTGCTTGTTTACCCAACACAGGTAATAAGTCTTATTGACATCCAGACCCTGGGGACCTCCGCTTTCACCACGTCAAGTACCAATGGGAAGACTCTCAAGGCCATCCTCGAGGATCCGCTCACTCCTAAGTGCATCTGGGACGTACGTAATGACGCTGACGCCCTGTGGGCCCATCATCACGTCTACCTTAGGGGAGTCATAGACGTACAGCTTCTCGAGAATGCATCCCGTACCGGCGACAAAACCTACATACGAGGGCTTAATATATGCGTCGAGAAGGATCTGAAGCTGAAGTTCATGGAACTCCATAGTTGGATCAAAACCAAAAGGGATATACAGGCGCTCATGCCTAACAACATCTTCGCGCACCGACCTTTAGACGCTGAGACAATACGATATTGTTCCAATGATGTCGTATACCTACCTGCACTACGCGAAACTTATATCCAGCGAATCGATAGCCAATGGATAGAGAAGGTAATGGACGAAAGCGCTCGCCGTGTAGTCGACGCCTGCAGCCCTTCATATGAGTCTCAGTCAGGCACGAAGAAGTTGGGACCTTGGGGTTCGGGGCTGGAAAAAGCTGAGTTGGCCTTGGAGGAATGGCTTGATAAAGTGGATAGACGTAGGATGGATGAGATGCAAAAAGACTATATGATGGATGGAAGAGAAGATGATACATCCGGATATGAGGATTGCTATCATGCTGGAAGTTATAGAGACGCGGTATGGGACGATACGTTTGACAGTTGTTGGGAAAAGTAAATGGTTAAGACCTTAAGGCTTGGCCCAATTTCTCCTTTTCGTGGCATAAGGTAGTGAGTTCATATGGGAGAGCGTTTGCCCAAATTTATGTAGGTATTACAACCCTATAATTAGGTAGGTACGTTAACTAAAGTATAATATTAGTAGAGTCTTGATTTTTTTAAGTAAATAGTAACGATACAGGTTAAGGTAGTAAATAATTAATACTGAAGTGTTCCTTAAGAAGGATTAGAGTCTTTCTCATAAATATATGTCAGATATTATGCTTAAATCAATAACTATAGAATAAATGACTAAATACACAAGGAGATTTAATTTATTTTACTTTTTACATCTTAATTGTTTCTGTTGGTTTCTGTAACACTTGTCTCTTCATAGTCCCCAAATATATTATAGCAACCGAACTTTCATTATTTCTCATAAACCTATCTAATACCGCCTCTTTATGGTCTTTATATACCTAACAGAGATTATTCGAGGATTACCTGTCGTTGGTCGAGTTCTTAATCATTGGTCCACTTTTCGACTGTCTCGTCAGAGACCCCTCATGGATCGTAACTGCTGATATAGGTACGAAGTTATCACAATCTCTGGTAACTCTGAACTTTTTTCATTTTATCAGTAACAGAGGGTTATTGTCACAGGTTCCCTCTTTCCACTTCCCGAATAGGAAGTTTATCTATATGTGGCTTTTTAAAACTTTTATTGGGTATATCCTCTAAATGTAGGTAGACTTTACCAAATCTCTGCGTCCATACTTTTCAAAATACATGATTTTTTACTTCCGAATCTTTCCCTTAAATAGTGAGCTGTAGGTGAGAATACCGTAAAAGAGGATTTACAAGGTACTGGGGATGAAGATACTAAAGGTGAAAGTTTCGAAAGTATTAAAAATTATAAACCCCTTTCCTTTCCTAAGTGCGAAGTCTTAAATACTCAACCTTCCTTACATACTAAAAGTAAGCGTATTAAATAAAGATTTAGAGGATAAAGATATAAATTTGCTAAGCCATAGATAAAGGTACAACATCCTCTTTTTAAGTGCCGAGTTATAGGTGAGGCTTTTAAGAATATTAAGGATATTTGGATTATTATGGTATAGGGGTGCCTTCCTATAAGTATAACTCGTTCCCACAATTTGATCCTTCTTGTCTTTAATTACTACAGCCGTTGCCTAGACGCATTATGATCATATTTACCTAGGTAAATAGGTAGCTAGTGCTCTTTCCCATACGAAGGCCGACCTCTTGCCTCTTTTGGTATCCAATTATTTTGGCACTCAAAATATAGCTGCCCAAAATATTCCAACCTACCGATATAAAAGCCGGCACCTCCCGCCAACATTCCTAAGAACTCTCCCTCCTCATTTTCACTTTCACTATTTGCTTCCAAATTCGCAATCTTCCCTTGTAACATAATTGTGGGAACGTTGGTTATGTGACCTGGGTGGGACAGACCCACTCATCCTGTATATATTCCCACGTATTTTAATCCAGGATTAAAATATATATTAAATATCATTAATAATAACTTTATTTATTATATATATAATATTTTTTTATATTATATATAATATTTTTATTTATTTAATATTAATTAATAATTAATAATAAATTAGTTATAAATTAATTAAATATTTAAAAAGGAAAAAATAGTTTATACATTAAATTTTAATAAAAAAAAACAAGTAATTTTAAGATTTTATACTTTTATATATAATTTTAAACCTAAAATTTTATAATTTTATATATGGTTTTGAAAAATTTTGTATTAATTTAAGATTTTTAGATAAAAGAAATAGTTTATGTGTTAAATTTTAAATTTTAAGTTTACGTTTATTACGTATAAATAGGTAATATTGAGATTTTATTTTATTAAATAAATGGTTTTAAGGAAATTTATATTAATTAATTTATATGTTTATTATATATTTTTATTTATAATATATAAAATATTAAAAAAAAGTAATAATATTATAAATTATATTATAATTTTATTTTATTAATAAATTTGATATTTTATTTAAAAATTTTCAATTTTATTTAAAAAATTTTATTTATTAATATTATTTAAAAATTTAATATTTAAAGAAATAATAATATTTAAAAATTATAAAAATATATAATAACGTTGTTTTTTTTTAACCTTTTATAAAAATAATTTATAAAAATAAAGTTAGGTAAATTTTTTTTTTTATAATATATATTTTAATAATATTATTTTTTTTATTATTTTTTTTTATTTATTTCTTTTATTATAATAATTAATATTATTATTAATTTTAATTATAATATTATATATTTAATATAGTTAAATAAATATAAGATTTTTAATAAAAATATATTAACGATAAAAAATTTAGCGTAAAGTTTATAACTAACAACGTAATAAAAATTTTAATAATTTAAATTAAAATATATATAATTGAAAATATATAAAGTTATAATAAAAATATAATTAATAAAATTTTATAATATATTTTTAAAATTAATTTTAATAATTAGATTAGAATTTATTTTAATAAAATTAAATATTTATTCCGTATTAAAATTAAAAAATATATTATATTTTATAACGTTTATATAAAAGAAATAATTAATAATTATTAAATATTAATAAATATTATTAATGTAAAATTATTTTTAATATATTTTAAAAAAAAAATATTTAATTTGTTAAAAATTTATTTTTTTAGGTTTAAATTTATAATTAATTTAATATATATATATTTATTGGAAATTATAACGGAGAATATTATAATTAAATTAAATTTAATAATAATAATATTATTATTATAATTATTTTTAATAGTTTAAATTATAAATATTTAAATTATAATTATATAAAATTTTATATAAATATTTATATAATTATAAATAAAATAGATATAATTTAATTTAATATAATTTATAAACCTTTAATTAATCTTTTAAATATTTTAATAAATTTAAATATTTTAATAAAAATAAATAATTTTTTAATTATAATTAATTTAAATGTTTTTAATAATAATAAATAATTTTATATAATAAAATTAATTTATAAGAAATATAAAAGGTTTTTTAAAAATAATATAAAAATTTATTAAAAGATTATTTATTTATAGATAAAATAAGTAAATAATAATATATAGATTTTAATTTTTTATTATATTAATTAAATTATATAATAATAATAATTTTAAATTTGAAAGTAAAAAATATAAAATATTAAATAAATAAATTTAAATTTTTTTATTTTATTATTATAAATTTGAAATTAAATTAGATTTATATATTAATATTTATAATATTATATTAAAAAGGGTAATATTAGAATTTTTTTATAAATATTTTATATAAAAAAGGTTTTAATTTTAATATAATAATTAATAAAATAAAAGGTTTTTTTTATATAAGTAAGAATTTTTAAATATATATATTTAAATAAAAAGATATAATAATTAAAAATATTATATAAGATAATTTTAAAAAAATATTATTTAAATATTTTAAAATATTAATTATGTAAATATAATATATTTATAAAAATTTATTAATTAATTATATTAAAGAAATTTATTTTAAAGAAAATTTATATTATATTATATAAAAATATTTAATATTTTTATTTATTTTTTTTTAATAATTAAATATATTTGAAAATATTTATATTAATTTTTACGTAATGAATAGAAGTAGGATAACTCCTGGAATAAAATTATATATTTAATGTATTAGGCTTTTATAGAAAGTATTTTTAATAGTTAAAGATAGTATTTTATTTTCGAATATATAATTGGGTTATATTAATTAAGGGATAAAGTATAAATTTAAAAAGAAAAGAACGAATATATTTGATATGGAAAAAAGTATATATAATAAGTGTAAATAATTATGAAATTAATAAGTATATACGATATTTAACTGTTAATTGTTAATGATGAAGGAATTAATGTTGATAATGATGATTAAGAAAATGTAACGATTTAAAGATTTTATATAGTTTTAGAAGTTAAGATTATATAATAAATTTTTGTATACGATATTATTGCAATATTGTATTTATTTAATATTTCTTAGAGTTAACGATATTGGTTATAGTGAAATAATTTTAATAAATAAACTTTATATTTAATGTAAAATTTATTAATTAATATATTTTTAATAGAAAAAAAACCTTTTAATAATTTAAGTCTTTTATATCTTTATTTTTAGACTTAATAATTTTAGCTTGTTTTTTAGCCTTTACGGTAATACGTTTAGTATAATTTTTAATTTAATTAATGATTTTTTTAGGTTTAGATTTAGTTTAATTGAGTTATATTTTAAATTTATTTTAGTTTAGCTATTTAATTAAGAAATTAAGCTACGGTCGGTTAGTAGCATTTTTATATATATTAATAACCTATTTATAAGGCGTAAACTTTTTATATTTATATTAATTAATTTTGTATAGGTTAGGGTTATAAAAATAACGTTTATTTAGGTTTATTATGGTTAAAAAGTTTTCGATTAGTATATTATTATTATTAGTAAATAATTTTACTAATTGTTTTAACGTTTTTAGTGTATTTAGGGTTTTAATTAATATTTCTTTAAGTGTTAAGGTTTAGTCTAAACGACAAGAGTTTTAAATTAGGATTAAGGTTTTAATTTAAACTTTTTTTTAGGTTTTTTACTTTTTAAAAATTACGGGCGTATTGGTAATTTTAAACTTTTGTTTAATTTATTAATTATTTTAATATTAAGGTAAATTAAAAACGTTTATATATATTATTTGAGTAAGGGGTAAACATTTATTTTATGTTTAATATTATTAAGTAAAGTTTTTGGATTTTTTATAATTAAATATATTATAAGAATATATTAATATCTGTATATTTATTTATTTTTTTATTTTATTATATTAAATATAGCTATTTTTTTTGATATATAAATTGGTTTTTATTTTTTAAACGCTATTATTAATTATTTATTAATATAATTAATTTATTACATAATTTCGTTTTTAATTATATT